TATGACTTTGTCCAAATTCTTTAGATCTTTTCACCTACTAATAAGTTAGGTTAATCACACTCGCTATTAATATTTGCCTGTGAGATACCTTGAGATATGTTTATTAGCTAAATTTTCTCAAGTATTTGTGAAAACTCAACTTTCTTCCTGAAGATATATTGGATTTCACTGACAAGATCAAACCACATAAATGAATAAAATCAACTAAACGAACAAAACAATGAAGAGGATCATAGAGGCCTTTGTAAGTCAGGAGTAGATGGCAAAAGGCAAATCACCATCCTTCCCTCCCTGCCTCCTCCTTTCATTTCTTCTTTCCTAATTTTCTAAAACTTTATTCTGAAATAATTTTAGACTTATAGAAAAGTTGCAAAAGTAGTACAAATAATTCCTGTATGACCTCCATCCAGATTGCCTAAATGTTAACATTTTGCTGGTATTCGGACATTCACTTTCTCTTTCTTTCTCTTTGTGTGTGTGCATCCATACTTATCTCTCTATATCTATATGCTTTTTTCTGACCTAATTGAAAGTGAGTAAAAGACAAAATAGATGCCCCTTTATGCTTAAATATTCACTGTTCTCTTATATAACCATAGTAAAGTCATACAAATCAGTAAACTACATTGACAATAGTATTAAATCTATGTATTTATTCAAATTTTGTTAATTATCTTAATAATCATTTTATAGCAAGAGAGGCTGGGCATGGTAGCTCACACCTGTAATCCTAGCACTTTCGGAGGCCAAGGTGGGCAGATCACTTGAGGTCAGGAGTTTGAGACCAGCGTGGGCGACATGGTAAAACCCCGTCTTTACAAAAAATACAAAAATTAGCTGAGGGTGGTGGTGCGTGCTTGTAGTCTCAACTACTGGAAAGGCTGAGTGAGAGTATTGCTTGGGTATGGAAGGTGGAGGTCGCAGTGAGCCAAGATCATGCTGCTGCACTATGGCCTGAACAGAGTGAGACTGTTTCTCAAGCAAACAAAGAAACAAACAAACAAGCAAACAAACAAACAAAAAAACCCCAACTTTATAGCAAGAGAAAAACATAACATTCTTTGGTTTAGGATCCAACCCAGGCTCATGTGTTATACACAATTGTCCCATTTCTGTGTCTGCTTAACCTGGAGCATTAACCCAGTTTTTCTGTTTTTCATGGAGAAGCTAAATTCTTGAGCTTAAGAGAGCCCATGAAAAGTTGAATGGATAAATGTTACTTTATTTTAACAAACAACCATAAAAGGCAGCCAGGAAGTCCCAAAGTTGAATTATGAGAATATTAAAGTTGTTTTTTAAAGTTGTAAAAATAGGGCAATTATAATATAAATTTTAAAAATACAGAAATGAATCACATAAAAATAAAAGTTCTCCCTGGAATCCCACTCTTACTCAACCTGTTAAAAATTTTTGTATATTTTTCAGATCCTTTTCTATGCTCATAAAACACATAATTTATAACTTGTGCTCTTTTTAAGCCAAAATGCAATCAGACTGTACATATTGTTCTGTAACTTCCCTTTTTAAAAAAGTTACTTTGTCATTAGCATCTTTCCCTATCAATTTATGCAAGTATATGAGGGTCGACTTTTGTCATCTCTAGTGGGGAAGCCCTAACCTGAGCCCAAAGTCTTCCATTTTGCTTTGGGTAGTAGCTTTGACTTACTAATAAGTTTGGAAGTGGCCTTGTTCACTGGGAGAGAATGTTCCTTTTTCACACCTAGTTGTCCAAGTACACATGGAAAGTTTGGGGAGCAAACTCCCTTTTTGAATTATTGACCCTTTCTGACCTTTTCTTTCATGGTACCCACAGATCCCTCCCTTAATTTATGGCCCTTTCATGGAGGACCTCATTAGGGTGACTGTAGCCTGGGAAGCTCGATCACAACTTGGATAATACAGTGTTGAGGTTGAACTATTTCAAAGGTAAAAACAAAGTATGAAAAAATGTTTAAAATAACACTCTCAACTCTTTAAAATCTCTCTCTTTTGCACTGCAACTAGAGTACAAGATGACATGACTGGTGATTGTATACACACATATATATATATAAATAAAATACCCATATACACACAAGCACACACACATGCATTTTGTAAAGTTTCTGTGATCACATATCTGGGAACCATCCCCATGGGTGTTAATTTCTAACTGTTTGGATACTCTTTTATCTGTATCCTAGATTAGAAGTGCAGCTGTTCTTCTCCAGTCTTAGACACACTTGCCTGATCTTGGAATGACTTTAGGGGGTTTCTTGCAACTGTTTTGCTGAGATATTTAAGAAAATCAGTCTTAAAGATTGGTTTAGGCTATTTTTCCTTTGGTTCTTGACTGGATATTTTCTGGACCTTTCTGACCTTTAACTTTATTTATCTTTTGCTTACACTGACCTTATGGTGCCTTTAAACCCAAGAGTGCAACGAGGCAGTGATGATCCAAAGTTATTTGTGAGTTTGATGGCTGTATTAGCGGTTTTCCCATTTTGCTTCTCTCCTGCAGCCTTTAGCCCTGAAAGCATTTTGGAACAGGGTCTGTTTTCCTATAACTGCCTTCTTGCACTTGTTGGGCAAAATCAGAGCAGTGATTGAGTCCTCAACACCCTTATGGCACTGCAGAGTAATAACATTTATCACAGTTCTTGTTTAAGCCCTTTAGAGAATGACATTTCACAGTGTAATTTTGCTTCACAGATTTTTCCCTTGTGAGTTTTAACTTTCAGGGCAGAATTCTCTCTTATGGCTTCACCTTTTTCCTATTTTGTGTATCTGTGAGAAGTTGCACAAATAAGGCTCCTCTCAGCATAGCAAATGGAATCAGGTCACGCTCCCGAGTGACCTTCACCTCTAGATTCCAGATTGTTTCTTCCTTATTTGTCATGAGCAGGCCCAAATTGCCTCACCTCTAGCTGCCCTTTCCACTTTATGAAACAAGCAACTAACAGCAACGCAGCTCTAAAAATTCCCGGATGACCTGAATTTTGCTCTTTTTATTATCCCTTAAGAAATGTCTCAGTAATTGAAATCTAGAGTAGCAGAGTTTTGTGATCTTGTCATTTAGCATTTTACTTATATTTGGTTTATGTATATTGTGCCTTTAAACCCAAGGGTGGTCAAAGTGTGCCTGAGGGACCTGGAGGACTGAAACCAGGAATATCGTCATTTATTCAAAGGCGAGAAGTGAAACAAGGGTTTTAGCACCCCCACTTATTCGGGAGTTAAGAGGAAAAGGAGGAGGAGAATGCTGTAGAATTTTAGTAGGTAGCAGTGGGGAGAGGCGAGACATCTATGCAGAGATTTATACTGCATGCTACATTTTAGTTATTTATGGGGACATGGGTATCTGTTTTTTTCCCTCTACAGTAATTTATCAGTGAGTTCATCGTGATTTAGTAGTGCACAGAGGACACCCACTGCTAATTCCCCTTTATTTCATATATTTCTTTTACCTTAACTCATAAAGCTTCAGTATTGCTACTTCCTTTATCATCCATCTGTATTTCATTGCAAGTCCAACTCTTTTTGATCTATAGTGCAAGCCCTCATTTTCCCACCTCTTTGTCCTCTCTTCACAGATTGCATTCCTCAGTATTGACATTTCAGTCATTTGATTTATCCTAACAGGTTCCCCGGTGCCAACCAGATCATAATTCCCTTTCTGGTAGCATCACTTCAAGACCTTCCTGGTTATTTCCCTTGGCTCCTAGTATTTGTGGATCAGCACCTAAGAGATTTACTGATGATTTGTCTCCTCTTTTAGCTTTCTGTTTGCTTAGATCCAAATCACAGGTGGTAACTTGGGAGGCCTGAGGATATCTGGAATTGTGTAAAATGTGAGCTTTGTTCTGCTTGGTAGGGAGCGCTGGAATGTTCTATCTCAAGCATTTTCACAGAAGGGACATCTCTGGAATTGCTTCAAACAGAAGGATCTGCCCATGAGCATTCCGCTAGTCTTTGTAAATCAAATGCCATCTCAGGAAATCAAATTTCCCTGAGAGCTTCTAGATGGGGAAGAGCTGGATTATCAGTTTTCAAAGTGGATTATCTTTTAAAAAGAGGAAAACACCTGTAAGAAACTCATATTAATTTTGGTTAGAAAAGAGTAAAATACTCCTTTTTTGTGCTATTTATTTTTTTACCAGTACTGTATTTGTGGTGTCTGACCACGCACACATACATAGACAGATATATACATATATAATAGACAGACATAGAGGGAGAAGAGAAAAAGATTTCTCGTGTTTGAATTCTCATGATGTTGACATTAAAATATTGAATGCTGCATTATGACAAGACCTTCAGTTGTCCTGATTTGCATTAGTGACATCTATTTCACATCTATTTCTCATGTCAGACAAGAGAAAACTGCATAGATTTTTCTCCCCCAGTTCCTTTACCTTTCTTTAATCAGTTCTTGTGATTCTATGTGCAGAGAGGTTTTGTAACTTATGTATGATATATTGGAGATTGGCTATATTAGGTAAAGTAGCACTCTTGCATTGTTTTTAAATTAAGTGTAATCTAGGATCTTATCCATTGTTTAAAATTATACTATATTGCCATGAAGGATGCTCATAACTCCATTCTGCTTTACTCTGTAAGGCATGTGGGGCTGGGGTCTTTCAGGGATGTACTATGCTTACTGCTTGGGCTATTGATTGATCCTGGCTCACCTCATGACGGAGGATAAAAAGATTTCTAACTGTGGATAAGAAATGCCTACCAAGAAGCTGTTTTTTGGCGTTGTTCATTGCCAAGGAAACAATGAAGATAAGAATACTGTGGTGTCTTGTCTTTACCACCTTTCTTTCATCTACAAAATAAGAGTTTAATGAGTCTCCTAGTCCTAAAACCAAATTTGAAATGGACTTCTATTGCAGCTGGAGGGATTTGGTTAGCTATGAGGAAGAATTTCCTGACTCTGAGGATGTCAAATTGCATGAATGGTTGTATAGCCACATTCTCAACAGACCCTTAGAAGTTTTTTTAAAAACCTCTTCCAGATACCTGAAGGCAGAGGGCGACCCTTTGATGTCTCAGGGCCATATATCAGTTCCCTAACAGTGAAGCCCACAACAGGTAATACGAGTTTGTAATTTCTGATAATGACACATGGATTTCTGCCTAATATTAATGATCTACTAATTAAAAATGTTCCTAAAATTTTATGAAATGAATCCAAACTTACAGATAGGATGACTGTGTAAATAATAGCAAAGTAGTGACCAAAAATGCTGAGAGGAAAAAAAGCATGGGGAACAAAACCTAACAAAGAATATTTGTTTATTATCAGAGACAAATAATACAAAATCAAATTAATTTACTTGTTTTTGAAATTCATTTTTGAAAAAGAACAAAAATTACACACACAAAAAAGAAGCAGTAGAATTAAAACCTAATTTCTGAATGAGAGTCACCATAGTGTCTCTCTCTGAGGGCTCAAAAGGAAAAAATAGTATTAATATTAGTTTTCAAGATATTAGTGGACGAAGTGACTAGGAAAATATAATCTGCATGCCCAAAAGGTCTATATTGCTGATCAAGTTAAAAAATAATACATGTATGCTTATTGGAATTGCCAAAAAGGAGAATACACCAGAGGAATCAACATTTTTCACTGATCCCCAACATTTAGAATGATTTTAATAGGTTTAACCAATCCTTACCAATTGAATTTATGGAATAACGTGAAGAATTTACTTATCCTCTTATAATAGTATGTACTCTTTGAAATTAGGAATATGCTGTCGGCATTGACTAAAAATTAATGGGAAGCATGGAAGACAACACTTAAAACGGATTCCTTACTACACAGCCATAAAAAAGAATGAAATCATGTCCTTTTCAGCAATGAGGATGCAGCTGGAGCCCATTATCCTAAACGAATCAACACAGGAACAGAAAACCAAATAGTGCATGTTCTTGCTCAGAAGTGGGAGCTCAACATTGGGTGCTCATGGTCATAAAGATGGCAACAACAGACACTGGGGACTAATGGATGGGGGAGGCAGAGGGGCGCAAGGGTTGAAAAACTAGCTGTTGGGTACTACGCTTACTACCTGGGCAACTGGATCATTTGTATCCCAAACCTCAGCATCACATGCTATACCCATGTAACAAACCTGCACATATACTCCCAGAATCTTAAATAAAAGTTGAAATTACATAAAAAACCAAAACAAAAAACAAAACATCCCCAAGTATTGAGCTATGGCTTCTCCTCGAAACAACTTCTCACAGATTTTTTTTTTCCTTAAAGCTGAGAGAGAAGTACTGATTTACTATTTATATAAGGGGCGTAATTTATCTTCAACTGATTAAAATGATCAAGTATGTAGTGACAGGTCTTTATATTCCAGGTAAATGCTTCCTTTGTGTTTTTCAGGCAAGAATTTCTGACATGACATGGGAAAAGCTGAAGAAGTCAGCTTCTTTTTGGGGTGTGTTTTCATTTAGAAGTTGACTTGAGATGGATTAATGGCAAATCACAATAAATTATTTATCAGATAATAAATGTGATAATTGTTCTTATTTATCATCAGTATAACTTGCCTTGTTCTCCTGTCATGCTTTCAATCAAACCTTCTCCAAAGATTTGCTGGTTAAAATATACAGCCAAAAGGTCATTCCAACAATTCTTACTCATAATGGCACACTGATTATCTCCTAATTGAAAAATGTAAACTAGGGGCTCTGTAAGTAATGTGAGTGACCCTTGCATTTCTAACACAATGAAGAGAGTCACTCTGTACCTCATTCATCCTGCCATGGGAGACAGTACAATTCTCAGTAATTTTAATGTTCTGCTGAATTAATTGGAAATAACTTCTTTGTTTTCCATGAAGAAGGAAAAAAAAAAACCCACCTGCCCAAATTTGCTGAAAAAGTAGAGATGTAAAATACCATTCACTATCTACTGTCCTGCTGGCAGCTAAACCATTGAAGCTTAATTGTAATTATCCACCAGGTCTGGGCCCGGAGAGGAATACCGATTACCATTACGTGTGTTTCCATGGGCAAGACTGTGTATTGAGCCTGTTGCAAAGTTTCAAGCAAATTTATTTCTACCGGCAACTGTAATGGATCATTGGTCATGGACTATTTCTGGACTCGGTACAATGGGAGAAAATAACTCCAACTTATCTGTGCAGAATTCCTTAAAAGATCGCCAATGTTGCTAAAGTAGATGAGTAGATACCCAGACACCCGCTGCTTTTGTGTTGGGGTACCTGTGGTCCAGATGTCCTGGGTTATTTTCTCACTGTTTATCTCTCCACCAAGAAATCTGTACTCAGCTAGACAGACATGTGTTTCCCAAACTTTTAAAATGGGAACAGTGGTTCCCATGAAAAACAAAGTTTTTATTTTTTGAGACAGAATCACTCAGACTGGAGTGCAGTGGCTGAATCTCAGTTCACTGCAATCTTTGCCTCCCAGGCTCAAGTGATCCTCCCACCTCAGCCTCCCGAGTAGGTGGACGCCCACGACCACGTCCAGCTAATTTGTGTGTGTGTGTGTGTGTGTTTTATTGTATTTTTAGTAGAGTCGGGGTCTCACCATGTTGCCCAGGTTGGCCTCGAACTCTTGAGCTCAAGCGATTGGCCCACCTTGGCCTCCCAAAGTGCTGGGATTACAAGTGTGAGCCACAACACCAGCCGTCTGTATACTTCTCCCTCCCACTCTCCCAGTCGCTGTCTTTCCCTTCCACCCTTCCTGCCTCCCCCACTCCTCCATTTTTTCCCCTCTCACCTGTTTTTGATGTCCCCCAAGGTCATAGCTCAGATTGGACCCTCTTCTAATGCTTCATTTTTCACTGATGGGCATCCTATCATCTGGCTCACAGTTTCTTTTTTTCTTTTTTTTCTTTTTCTTTTTTGAGACAGAGTCTCGCTCTGTCGCCCAGGCTGGAGTGCAGTGGCGCGATCTCGGCTCACTGCAAGCTCTGCCTCCTGGGTTCACCCCATTCTCCTGCCTCAAGCCTCCCAAGTAGCTAGGACTACAGGCGCCTGCCACCACGCCTGGCTATTTTGTATTTTTAGTAGAGATGGGGTTTCACCCTGTTAGCCAGGATGGTCTAGATCTCCTGACCTCGTGATCCGCCTGCCTCAGCCTCCCGAAGTGCTGGGATTACAGGCTTGAGCCACTGTACCCGGCCTCATAGTTTCTTTTGAGCATGTTGCTTCCATGTGGTCTATGAACCACTACTTGGCACTTCTCTTGCCTAACCTACCCTTTCCCTTCCAGGTAAGACTGCTTATCCTGTATGATCTGGGAATTTTTCACACATCTGGGTTGGATCACCCTCTTTCCAAAGTTGCCTAGCATCCTTCACAGCTCTGTTCCACAGGGCTCCTACTCCTGCCCTAGGGTTTGCCCTTCTAGGCCAGCTTGCTCTGCATGGGTTACCTTGATTCCAGGCTCCCTTACCTTGTAGCATGTTTTCATGTCTCTGCAGAGGTCTTTTCAGACCCTTTGTATTGTTTCCCTTCCCCCAACCTTGCCTTTATCCTTGGACTCTATTCAATTTCTTTCCTTTTAATGTTGCACAGGGGAGAGCTGGATTTGGTTCTACTACCTCAACTCAGTGTAAGAGCCTTGATCCTTTTGCTTTACCACATAGTGGAGTTTAGACAGTGTCAGTGTCAACCTTTATAGTGGACGCCACTTCCTTACTCTCAGTAGCCTGGTCAGTGGGCCTATTTTTCAAAAGATCTTGTTAGTTATCTCTGTGATTTTATCAGTTCATTGAGAAGTTGGCCAGCCCCATCTAGGAAATAGAGGTTTTCAGTGAACTGGGTGGTGCATATATTCTTGACGAATGCCATGTAGATCATTCCTTGAATGCTCTTTGGCCTTGGTATTGATTGAGGTTCAGTGACTTTAATCTTGTGTACAAGGCAAGGAGTATATCTGGTGATCAAATGTTTTGAATTCCAAATCAGGACACATGGATGAACAACAAGACAGAATATTTGAATTCTTGAAAAATCTAGGAGGTTGTATGAGTTATCTTTTGCTGTGTAACAAATTACCTCAAAACCTAGTGGCTTAACGCAACAGACATTTTTTATCTCACACAGTTTTTGTGGGTCATGAATTTGGGAGCAGTTGTAGGTGGTATGGGCTCTGAGTTGTTCACAGGGTTGCAGTCAAAATGTTGGCTGGGGCTGCCATTTTCTAAAGACTTGACTTACTGCTTCCAAGAAGACTCATTGACACGGAATAGGTGGAAGGATTCTGCTCATCACCACATAGATCTCTCCATTGGGCTGCTTGAGTGTTCTCACAGCATGGTAGCTGGCTTTCCCCAGAGCCAGAGATTCCAAACAGCAAGGTAGAAGCTGTAATGTATTTTATCACCTAGCTTTGACAGTCACACTCCAATATCCTGCTGATTACATAAGCCAGCCCTATTAATTGTGGGAGGGGACTCCCATAGGGCAGGAATGCCAGGAGGATGGGATCATTGGGAACCATCTTGGGGGCTGGCTACCACAAATGTGTAGACTCGTTTATTGTGCTTCACCCTACTCTCTTATCTTTCTAACTGTATTTAGAAGGTGGTGGAGAGTATTGTGCCTCGCTCAGCTCAGATGGAAGAGACACCAGGGCATGTTATATCTTTGTAGCATTCAAATCAGGAGACAAAGGGCTCCTAACAGCTATCATGGTTAAAACAAACACAGTTAAATTCATTTTCTCTTTTGTTCTTTTCTTCCACCAAACTTTCCCAACATGTATTTCCCGGTGTACTAGTCCCGCGAAGTGCTCCACCAAACTATTTTTTGTAGTCAAACTCTGAGGTTCACAATTTCCATGGCTTGATTGATGGTTCTGACTATCCTTGCAATAGAGATCCTTATTTCACTTTGTTTAACCCAGCATTTTTCAAATTTATTTGTCTGCTATATTTTAAAATTTTGTCATACCTAATAACATCGTCTAAGCAGAGTGTTCTTTAAAACATACATTCTGAAACACTGATTTAGATATCCATAACCAATATTATTCCAGAAAAGGTTAAGATGGTTGTAATATTAAAAGTAGCCCATTGAACCTATCTGGAATCACAGAGTCGAGTGTGCCCACTAGACTGAAGTCCTTGATGGGCAATCTTATAACCTCAATACCTAACTCAGTACATAAACTGTGTGTTTGCTGGGGAACCCTCAATCGACCATCCTCTTTATTATGCTCCTAATAGCATGCACTTTGATGTTTCCCTACCCCTGTATGAAATCTCTATTGAAAACTGGTCCTCCAAGTCTTTCAAAAAGCGTTAACCTTCTTTCTCCGGGAGGAGGAAATTTTCTCCACCTACATATAAACTCCAAGAAGCATTGCACTGCTGAGATTAAGCATCTCTTAGCTGGTGTATTTTATGGCTGAATTGTTTGTCTTGGTATGTAAGCCTCTGGGGCATAACCATTTCTTCTTATGAGTCTGGTATAGCACTCAGCACACTGTCAGCACTCAACCCAAAATAAATCATCATAATAATAGTCATAAACATAAATCAAGGGAGCACAATCCAACTTATTTATAGCCTTATAGGAGAAGCACAATAGAAAAAGTGCAGTTATTTTCCATCATATTATCCTATATCATTTCCAAGCAAAATGTCATATTGTCCACTAGTGTGTAACCAGGTAATGAAGGATTTTGGCATAACCTGCAAATTCCACAAGGCCACACTTAAATGATGTGAGGCTAGAAGCTCATGTTTCCTAAGATTCTATAATTAAAATCTGAATTTCTAGGGCTTATTAAGATAATATTTAACATATAATTATCTTGACATTTTTAAAAGGAAAAGTGTTTAGGACAAATTATGTAGTAATATTTAATCACAAAAATCTACTAGTTCTGCTCATTTCTTCAAGGTCTGCTCTCTGATTTTCAAGGTGAAAGTTTAATGCTTAATAAAGATTTTAATCTAATGTTTAATCTAATGAATAATAGTTGATTAGTTAGTGGGTTATCCCACCCATATAACATACTTTTATGTGCAGAGTGCTTTTATCACTCTCAGATTGGGGCCACTTTAAAATTTGGGTTTGTTATTCCATATGACTATCAAACTGTAGTGGCCACATTTTCCTTTTTTTTTTTTTTAACTTGAGGAATTTGGAGAACACACCCACACCCACACCGCCCCCCACCATATATGTGAAAATAACAATCCCGAATATATCTACCACCCATAAAAAACCACTTGAATATTTTTATAACTTGTTTTTCAGGCTTTTTCTTGGATATATACTTTGAAAACACTTAACACATGACTATATTTTTCTTTTTTAAAAAAATTAAAACATTTTGGATAGAGTGGAAATCCTCTTCAACTACCATCTGAATCTTGTCTCCCTTCGCCCCCTTCTTAGTGGTACTCACAATCATGAGTTTGTTTATATTTTTCTGGATGATTGTTTCTGCACTAGCATACATGTATTTGCATCTTAATAAAATGTATAGTATTGTAACATGAACAGCATTATTTTTGCATGATATTTTATGTATTTTATGCAAATAGCTTTAAAAACAAAACAATTTATGATGATACACACACACATACACGTGTTCATTCGTTTTACCTAGTATATAATATTCTATCTCTTGAATATAAAACATCTTATTTAATAATTCCACTATTAACTATTACAAACAACTTTAAAATAAACATCTTTGCATGTGCTAGAGCTTTTTAAAAATAGGATATCTACAAGGATGAAAGATAGGTTATAGGTATAAACATTTTTTATTTTAACAGGCAGTGCAAAATGAATATTCTAATTTACATAGCTACTACTGATGAATAGATTCCTATCTCTACAAAACCTTGTCAGTGCATGGTATTTTCAAATGATAACAGTTTTTTCTATCTGGTACAAAATATCATTAGTGATTTCATTTGTATTTCCCTGGTTATTAGTGTGGGTGAGCTTATTTTCTTTCTTTTTTTAAGGCAGAGTCTTGCTCTATTGGCCAGGCTGGAGTGCAGTGGCACGATCTCAGCTCATTGCAACCTCCGTATTCCAGGCTCAAGCAGTTCTCCTGCTGCAGCCTCCCAAGTAGCCGGGATTACAGGCATGTGCCACCACGCCCGGTTAATTTTTGTGTTTTTAGTAGAGACAGGGTTTCACCATGCTGGCCAGGCTGGTCTCAAACTCCCAACCTCAGGCGATCCACTCGCCTTGGCCTCTCAAAGTGCTGGAATTACAGGCGTGAGCCACCGGGGTGAGCTTATTTTCTCATTTTTTTGGGGGGGCCATTTGTATTTTCTTTTGAGTGAATTATTTCTTTATATCCTTTGCTTATTTTCCTATTGGATTGTCTTTTTTTCTCATTAATTTCTAGGAGCTCT